TGTGAATAAGTATTCTTCTGATGGATCACTGCTGATCAACTGAATGATTCCTTCTGCACTAATTTTCATTTTCTCATCTCAATTTCACAACATACAGAAACCAACAAGCAGATAATGATCAAGCCCAACCTACATCAGGGACGAATTTGTTCTGAAGACACAAAGAATTACGGGATAAGGGTTTCTGTTTGAAAAATGCAGCATAGCAATATAAAAGTAGTCTGATTTTTGCTACAGCTCAAATTTTCAAAACTGTAAAATGGCTTGATTTGCAAACTGTCCACGTGAATAAAACCTGCAATGCAAAAACAAACTTTGTTTGTGGTTATTATTCAAAATAATTAATAATTTTTGCCTAATGATTAAATTAACTTTGGTAGGAAAAACAGTGTATGATAATTTTAGTAAACAGTCTTTCAATGCATATCTGTTTATTGCTGAAGTCTTTAGGAATTATTCAGTGCCAATAGGCATTATATACACCTGTCAGTAAATCCAAAATTCACAAAAGTTGCATAAAACAATCACACAAACAAACAAAAAAAGACTGCCTTCACTATTTCAAAAACCTTTTTTTATCTTATTCAATTGGAATGCAAAAACCAAATGATATGTTGCCAACACCCTGAATGTAAAATAAGGCATGAAATACTTACTAATACTACTGCTAAAGGAAAGGGGTGACAGGGATTTTTATTTCATAAAACAAGAGCCTTTAAGCATTGTATTTTAATTATTATGGGCCAGACCAGGCCTTACATCCATCACAGAAAAGGGAGATCCACAAAAATACCAATTAAATGTCTTTTCTTTTGGTAATGAAGGAAACAAGGAAATGATTTGATCTAACTGTGGTACATTCTGTCCCATCAGCAGTGTAGGGACTAACGTGTTATTAAGTAACGCGTTACAGTAACTACGTTATTATTGTGGTAACGAGGACGGTAACTAGTTATTATGCCAAAATCAGGAGCGCGTTAATCGTTACTGGGATTTAGATTGGGTCGTTATTCTTTACTTCTTGTGGTGGCTATCGGAGCTTCCACAGATTCAGTAACATTAGCAAGTGGTGGAGGCCTGCAGGTGGATGAAGGAAAGGGGAGGGAGGAGGAGCAGAGACCCGAGGCGGCCGCCGATACGAGTATCAGGTGAACTGAATTTCAGGTAAGAAGTTATGACCTGCAGTCTATCTGGGTCAGCTATAAACCAAGTTTAGGTGTAGTTTATTTTCGTTATTCTGACTTTTTCGTACTACGTACTAGCTAGCATGACGGAGCTTCTTAGCCTAACAATAAGTCAACAGTTATTTTAGACTCTATTAGTAAAACTGATAAATTAGAATATTGTGAAATTGTTCCTTTTTTAATAATTTAATTTTATTCAGTATTTCAAGCCTTTTTTTGTTTGAGCCCTCTGACACATGGTATTTCCTTCAGCTAACAACCCACATTTTTTATTATTACACTCCTTTAACATTTTTATTTATTCAATGGTACAACACATCACTGTTGAGTAAAATAAGGAGTAGAACAGCTTTAACCTCCTAGAACCCAGCGTCCACTAATGTGGACATTTTGGGTTGTCTAGACCACAGTAGTAAATTTTGCCCTAGAAGGGCCTGATATCCACTTACGAGGACATTATATTGTAACTGTTCTATCGAAATGTATCCCATATATGGATATCAGGCCCTTGTAGAGCAAAATCAGGTAAAAAGATAATTCTTTGTTTTTACATTCATCAGGCCCCAATCAGCCAAAAATAGCAAAGAGAAATTAAAAATGCATGCCATGAAAGAGATCAGGTCTTAGGAGCTTAACCTGGTGGTCAAACTATCCTTTCAAGAATCAACTATGTATGTGGTGCAGTGCCAGTTAATCCTTTGAATTTATTTTTTGGTTTATGTTTTCAGTTTACATTTTTATATTGTTTTAGATTTTTATTTTATTTTAACTTTGTGATTGTTATCTGTTTTAAGTACTGTATATATAAATACTAAAAATAATAATTGTTATACATGCTTAAACTGAAATAGCGGTGTGTGTCTGTGTGTGCATATGCATGATATGTGAAGAAGCATTTGGTTTTATTATTTATATTATCTACTATATTTACATTGTGCAGTTAGACCACTTTTCTTGGGGCAATAATGGTTAAGTAGTAGTGCTTCTTAACTCCTGGTTCAAACGCCTGGTTCAAAACATTTACTCAAATTATCATCTTTTAAGCAGGCATTTGGAACTTTTGTGTTGGAGGAGGGTATGGGGTTACCAGGGAAAACACTGTGGTGGGATAAAGGGAAGCAGAAAGTACTCCCAGCATTCACCCCAGTCAGCGAAAATCTGAATTGGGCCAAGGTTAATCTTAAAACAGGTAATCTAAGGAGCTTGGAAAGAAAAGCAACTGGACTTCTTTAAGTTTCTTGAAGACGTTTCACCTCTCATCCAGGAAACTTCTTCAGTTCTCAGAGTAACTGGTGGAGAATCCCAGATTTTTAAGCCCTATTGGCAGTGTCCCCATAAGGGTCGTTGATCAACTATTAATCAGACAGTTGCGACGACTCGCACGAGGTTTCGGCAGAGACAGTAAACTGAGACAGCTCGGCAGAGCTCCCAGCAGAAGCGGCTGAGGGGGGCTGAGAGAATTCACGAGAGATCTCAGCCGATGAATGCTGGACGAATGGACTTAACATAATACAAAAACACAAGAAAACTGAGAATGCTGGGTCAAAATGACCCAGGACAAGTGAAGTGGTGCAAATACTCTCTGAATGCACTATATGTAAGTAGTACACATTCATGGTGCTACATTTTTTGCTTACATTCAATAATGCTAACTTACAGTTAGCATTATTCTTTCAGTAAAGACTGGAAACTTAATGAGAGTGAGAGTAGAATAATTTAATGTAGATCCCTTCATTGTCATTGTACATATACAACGTAATTGCAGGTGCTCAACACCAGCTGTGCTGGACAAAATATAAATAGTAGAGAGTAGGAATAAATATCAAATAGGAGAAATATATACAATGAAGAGGAATATATACAAAACAAGAGAAAGGCATACATTGCAAAACTTTGCAACTATTTTGTTCTCCAAAGCGCAGATCAGTGGTCAGCTAAGGGTCAGACATATGTGATGTTTTGAGGTACATAGTTTGTGTGTGTAAATGATAATGTGTGTACCAGACAAGCAAACAGTAAATGGATAATAGTAAGACATTGTCTTACCAAAAAAAACCCTTTTGTATGAGCTTTTGTGTTACGGCCCTAGCAGGGCCTCCTCCTGAAGTTGCCTGTGTGGGAGTGTCCTACCATCTCTCCTGCCTTAGGTGCCACTTTTTTCTATCGTACAGCTGACTCACATCAGCAATTAAAGGTATTTAAGAGCAGATAAAGGTGTGCTCTGGTGCCAGAGTGCCATGTGAGTGGTTGCAGCTAGTGAGATTGGTTTTTTGTGATTGTTTGCTCCTGCTTGGTGGAGAGGAGTGTTTGGTTACTAACCTTTTTTCTGCCTTACTTTTCAGTTCACTGACCAACGCTTGAGTTTTGTTTCTTTAAATGGTGATAGCGGCTTGTCCGTCTCTTTTAGTTGAGTTATTAATTGGAACTTTAATAAAACTCTTTCATTTAACCATTTTGCCTCTGTCTCCTTTTTCTGACCCGGACACATTTTGTTACTTCCCCCTCATTGCCTGGACCCCTTTTAGGGGAGCATAACATTTTGCTACATTTTTTTTTCTATATGTTAGTATTTCCCAAAGTTGCAGTAAATTTGACCCCTTAGGGCCACCGCAGCCATTTGACAGTTGCAACAGTAGTTCCTTTCCTGAAGATCTCTGTGGGTGATGATGCTTGATGCACTGACACCAGCCTCGATCCAATCCTTGTAAAGCTCTCACAAGTTCTAGAATGAACTTTTCTTGACAATTATGTCAGGACTGTAGCGATCCCTATTGTTACTCTGCCTTTTCATACAACACGTTTTCCTTCCAGTCCACTTTCCATAAATATGATTTGATATAGCACCCTGTGAAAAGCCAAGCTTTTTAGCAATGACCTTCTTTGGTTTTCTGGTACCCTCCTTGTGGAGGACGTCAGTGATTCTCATCTGTCAAGTCAGCAGTCCCTATGATTATAATGCATGTGTTGAACCAGGCTGAGAGATAGATGGCAATTTGTCTAAATAGCAGTTTTACTCAGACTCAGAATTAAATTTTTTAATAACCTGAAATACTGAACTTTGACTTTCCATTAACAATAAGCCATAATCATTAATATTAAAACAAAAAGCTTGACATATTTCAGTTTACGTGTAATGAATACAGAGAATATGAAAGTCTACCTTTTTTGAATTGAAGTACAAATGTGTAGTAGTATGTACACAATGATTTCCTTTCTGTAGTATACACACTTTTAAAATAAAAGTTCAACTGCCAGTAGGCGCAGCAAGAATACTTAATATATACAAACCCTTCTTTGTTACGTTCTCATAACATTCAAACTACTTAACAGTTAAAACCAGCTATCACCAGGTTTACACAAGAATGGTTTTCTGCCAAGTTCACTTTTTTTCTCTATTTTTTGGCCATTTCACATAGTAACCAAACCACTTCCATACAGAAGAATTATTCTGTGAACCTTGACCGTAGAGAAGTGACAGAAGAAGTTCTCATTAGATCAAAATGTTATCTGT